AACTTAAAGTTTTAAAACAAAAATTTTCCTTTAATAACTAGAGGAGAATATTTAGTATTAAATTAATAATTTAGTAATTTATACGTAATGAAATATTTTTTTTAACTTCTAGAATACAATATTTTCAGATATGACGAATACTTATATATAATACGTGAAGGTGATTTCTACGAAATACTACTCCTCCGTTAATAATGAACCGATTTTTACAAACGATGTGTCAAAATTAAGTATTTGTTGTGTACACGCCCCCTTTCACCAATTCCTGTAGTAAAAGTCCTCGGGCTATGCCCCTCAGGCCATCAAAATCCCAATGTATATCTTATGAAGACAAGATTTTGTTTAGTTAAACGGACGAATAATTTGTATTAATTACAGCTGTTCATAGTACACACATGATACACACAAGAGTTTTCGTTTTCAGTTTCGATAGATGGAGTGGAGTGAGCGTTCGTTTTCAGAGTGAGTTCGTTTCCAGTTTCGATAACTGGAGTGGAGTGATTGGTTACATTATCTTTGAGTTGACTCTCACACGTCAACGGAAATAGTGACAGTTATTCGTAAAAAAACTCCTTTAATATTTTGCAGTTGCTCAAATTCGAGCAACAGGTGCACTAGTTTGTTATATTTAAAATTATCCTATTCATTTAATTTGAACTTTTAAGTGGAGTATTCATTTAAAAGCCACAACTGAACAGAAAATAATAAATATTTAGGAGTGCCGTACGAAACCGTACTAGTGTGAAGACACACGCTTGTCCGGCGCAGCGCCGCGCGGCGGACGCCGTACGGCGCGCGCCGCTTCGTGTGAAAGAGGCGTTAGGCTTCAAACATAGGCTGCCTACTTAATAATAACCTGTTTTCCATCCCACTAACCCATTAGACAATTTTTACTCTTTTTAGTCTTTTTGGAAGCATAGGATATTGTTTTTCTTGAAAGGTTTATAAAAATATAAAAGTTTGGAAGAGTAAATGGCTATTGTAACTAAATTAGGCCTTAATAAAATACAATACCGTAGGCGAAACTAGTGTATTTTGATGGTACGAAACTGGACCGAGTTTTCCCTTGAATAAAAGGCTTTTAATAATTAGTCCTGGCTAAGAAAAGGGTAGTCATAGTCAGTAACAAAGCCACGCAGATCATCTCCCTATTATCTACCCTCGTCCTTCAGTCATATTCAGCTTGAAATACTCGAATCAAAATCTTAGTATCTTTCTTAAAGAATTTAATTGAATTTGCACTTTAACTATGGCAGGCTACTTAAACATTTAGGCTACAGTATTAAGCATGTATTTTGGTAATCCTCAGGCAAATGTTTATCATTCAAAGTGTTAAAACTTAAGGCATAGCTTTGAATACAACTCCGCAACAGGGAAATAAATCGTTAAGATAATAAATATGTCCATATTAATTGATCCAAGCGATATTTGCGATCGACTGTTTTTTTCATCTTGTAGCCCATTGTATTCTATTTATTTGTATTTGGACCACTTAACAAATGTCAGTGTTTATTGTCTCTAAAGGTCAATAGCCTAATCTACAAGTACCTATAAGATAAGTTTGAAGTAAAGAACCTAAAATGGTTAGAGATTGAACCATTAATAATTCAATTTTCTCGACCATTACCATTCTATTAATCATAGACTAGAGTAAAATCTGTAATAAGATACAAATATTTACATAGCTTATATTTTTTTTTAAAGCCCTCTCTAACTTATGTAGATTTGTATTACCGTATCTATTCTGGGTTAAGCCGATTACAAAATTCACCCTCTGAATTTTGGCCTTTTGCTTTCTAAGTTTTTATGTTCATTCAAACTAGTGTTTTGTATTAAATTTTGTGCTTGGAATCAAACCGAACCATCAAAATATTTCAACTAATAGCCTAAGCCCTAAAACAGATGTTTGAGTTCACTTTGTTCTCCCTTTAGAGTGGGGTTGTTAAATTCAAAATTTACTATTCTTAATATTTTAACTAGATTCTACTATAACAACACGTTGCTTTGACAGGTTGAACTAACAGTCAGTAACAGGTGATTTCTTGTTGTTGTAAGAAAGATCTCTCACTGAAATCACCCCCAATGATTGATACAACTTGTCAACAAGTTCCGAATTACATAATATCCAACAGCAGGTTTAAAGAGCAATTAATCTAACGGTTGTCATATTTAATCAGTATTTTGATCTCGGGGAAACCCATTTCTACAATACCATCTATTTCTTCTAAGTAGTAGATGACCAATAGCATGCCTATGACAAGCAGTGGGTCAGAGTGTGTCAGTGTGAGTGAGTGGACGCGTCTCTAATTGCTTCACCTAGCATTGTTCTCTTCTGACACCAATTATCACCGTTCCCAGTGGTTTGATTAGCAGCTGTAATCCGTTGAGAAATGTTATGTTCTGCCAACCTTAGAGGTTAAATTCTCGTTCCTTCCTCATCGTTAGTGGGCTCTACCGTACTGCTTCCGTTTTTAGTCATGCGAGCATGTTCTGCATGAAAATATACTTCAATTGAGTCCGATTTTTAAATGAGACTTTTAATTATGCTTGGTAAAACGTTTAATTAGTAGGCCTATTAGAACTTGTATTTGCAAAATTATTTGATTAGATGGTATACAGTAGCTTGATATTGTACTGCTGTGCTGTTTTAAAATATTGAGAAGCCTGTCATATTTTATAATTTAATTAAAGAGCATTTTATATACCTCAATTATTATTAAAACAGAACAGCACTTGCCGTTTTTCCTAAGCCAATTTAATACTAAAGACAACTCCCACCCATGGGCTTCAATCTGACAGCTTTCTATAAGGGGGGCCAGGATCTAGAGGTTAAACCCCCCCCCCCCCCCCCAGAACATCATAGTTGTCATATTTGTTTATTTTTTTGTCATCAGTTGTCATATTTGGGTAATAACCCCCAGCCAAGAGAGGGAAATTTTTAAAACTTATGTAGGCCTACAAAATTGATAATTTTACACATTTTTGTGTTTCTAAATATTATTTATTAATTTTTCATAGGTTTTAAAATTAAAATTTGAAAAAATGTTTAATTTGGGGTGTTATTGGGGGGGGGGGGGGCTTGAGCTCTAACCCTCTCCGACAACGGATATACAGGGTGATCATCTCAAGGAGGCCACCATTGGGATATCGGAAACGGTCAGAATTAGAGAAAACTTTATGGGGGACATTCCTTTATTTTTTTGGCAGTTAAAAATATGAATTTAATTTCTCGAAATTCAGCCGCTATTATTTTCCAACATGGCGGCCAACTTTGAAATTTTTTAAAACTTTTTTATTCTTGGAATTTTTTCTATAAAGCTACTCGTTGTTTAGGAGTTACAGTTTGCATCTACATTCCAAAAATGACCATAGTTTTCCACTCTTATTTTCCATAGTTTGCTGCCATTTTGGTAAATGGCGGCCATTTTTGAAAGAGTAGTAGTATCATTAATATTTTTGATATAATTTTATGGTCTTTTTGGAATGTATAAAGCCTAGGGTGTTCCATAAGAAATTTCAAAGTTGGCCGACATGTTGGAAAATGGCGACTGAATTTCGAAAAACTAAATCCATATTTTTAACTGACATAAAAATTAAAGAAATGTTCCCCGTTTAAAGCTTTCTCTAATTCTGACCGTTTCCAACATCCCAATGGTGGCCTCCTTGAGTTGTGCCACTGACTGTTTTAATAAACTACAGCTTATCAATAGTTAAACTAGTAATTGGTCTTTGCTAGTATTTCCTACCCCAACTATATTCTCTACCGATTAATGATAACATCTGTTTATCTCATATCAGTAAGACTTGCTGATAAGCCTTGTTTGCCCATTACTTGGAACCCACCATATAACTGATACTGCAATGTAAACAGTCAACATATTGATAAATAGTTCTTCCTCAACAATAAAATAGACGGTATCAGCAATCTGACACATACTTTCTCCCATTAGCTTGTCAACAACCCTTATCATGGGCAAGTGGTGGGAGTAACTATAATCATTGACTTTATAAAGTCTATGCTATAATATACTTACCATAACATACTTCATTTTAGTAAAAATCGTTTGTCTTTATTTATTGTTAAAATACAATTTTTTCTGTTATTCTATGGGTTTTATGAGATAACAGTAGGCTAACAAACCAAATTTCCAAAAATTAATAAAACGCTTAAAGACTCACATAACTCAAATTCAAATATAGGGGAAAAAAACAATACTTTCTCCATTATGCTATTTGGTGGAGATAGTAAAATTACTTGTGTTGTATGTTCTAGTATTTGTTTACTAAGCCAATTAAAAATTTGTGTGCGTTTTGTTTTTGCTATATGTTTATTTCTTTTTTTTACAAACCATGCCCAAGTTTCATAGGTTTTTGAAGACATCTCGTCCCTTTTTACTTAACATCTTAATCTAATCTTAATTAATCTTACTTCTTAATCTTAATCAACTTAATCATTTACTTAACAATCCTCACAAAATCTGCATTAGAAATTTTATTTCTGAGTTTACGTTAGTCAAGGTTACTTATTAATATTTAATGAGTTATTAATATCCTTTGCACCCTTATACCATGTAACACATTGATATATATTAGAAATCATAATCAGAGTTGTAAAAGGTTGTAAAAGGTTGATTTAGATTCATACATAGTGTTAATTTGTACTGTGTTGCCATTTAATGGTTCCCAAATTTCCACGTTCCAAGTTGAGTTTTCAGATAGCACTACTCGATCGAACAAGCTGGTGTATTGTCACCTACAAAACTGTGAGATTTTTATACGCTTTCGGTTGTTACGTAAGCTGAAATATAATTCCATTAGAATTACTAATTAACATTGGCATTGAAAATTGCACTTCCAATAATTATGATCCATTCACAGAAAATATAAAGATAAGCAATCACTGATATATTGACCAGGATGCGCCCTAATCAGTTAATATGTCAATAAACCAGGTGGAAACCTACACTTGCACAACTGCTAATTGATATTTGTTGTTGCAGACCAGAACCGAACAACATTCCAGAAGCATTCCAGCAGCAACGAAGATTCCAGGAGACATTCCACCCGGTATATAATGGGTTCGAGTGACTGATGTGGGAGAATGGAGGAGGGTAACAACAGGTACATCGTGCAGGTGTTTGTGGGAGCGCTGTCACAGCACTATGAGGCACTCTCGGTGGAAGCCAGCAAGCAGACGACGAGTGAGGAGATCGTGCTGTGTATCGCGGAGAGACTGTCGCTGTGTGGGGCGGCAGGGTTTGAACTGGCCGAGGTGGTGGGCGATGCACTCGGGAGAGAGTGTAAGGAGAGACGACTGGGACCGGCGGAATGTCCTGTCGCCGTTATGTTACTGTGGCCCAAGACGAGCTCAGCGCAACAGGAGTTCTATAGGTGAGTTGGGAAATATGTTTCAAAATGTAAAATTTGTATTGTGTTAGTTTTGAAAATTGGTTGCCAAACGGGAATGTTTGTTATCGTTAAATTGAGATTCAGTGCTTAGCCCGTTTACGACGGCTTACGAGTGTAGCCAGTCACTGTATTTTGCCGTGAGATGGTCTTACTGCTATCAGGTTTGCTTACATCTCACTGCTGCCAACCAAATATGATGTAATTGATTTTTCTATTGTACCTACTCACTCCCATGCTTGGTGTGTTCCAGACAGGCCTGTAGCTGTCAACATCTTAGTTTAAAAAATGCTGTGATTAAATCATGTCTATAATCAATGGAAATTCACAATGTGATAATACTGTAGTTCGGTGAATTGAAGCCCACCTTGATTCTCTAGGGCCATCCATAAAAGTAGAAATTTCTTTCAATGAAATGGCAAGCGGTAATTCAATTTAGTCGTTTACCATTAAATCTTAAGCTAACGTAACTAACGTCGAGTAGTAGGTTTTAATATTTCTTATTTTGTCTAGTTTTTGTCTTAAGCTATCTATTAAAAAGTAAAGGGTTAAAAACTTATAATTGATTAAATAAAGTGCAACGCTTGAATCGTAATTTTCATATTTTTAGTCGTTCAATACAGAAAGAAAAACGTTACTTGTACAATTAATAGTGGATTTTGTTTATAAACATATTGTTATAGCTGATACTGTAGTGAAACCGTTTTAGTGTGCTAGATATGACCACACTAATATTTGACACTTTTAGAGTAATGCTTGACTGAAACTACTACCTATATAATGCGTTTATATTCCTAAGCTAATAAATCTTTTTCAAAAGTAATACAAAGTTTTCTTTTATAAACATGCCCTAAAGAAAAAGAAACATTAAATACTTAGTCGGTCAAATATATCTGTAATAATTAAAAGAAGTGTTAGGCCAACTGTTTTGTGCGGTTTCGTTGGTTCCTTGGTCGATTATTCACGCACATAAACCAAAATGGAAATGCTGCAACCGACTAAATTATCTTAACCTAAATTTACGTATGGTCAATCATGGGTTCACAATGTAGGCTAATGGGAAATCCATCTCAATTGTTTATGTGAGCGTGAGCCTTTGTTTTCCCAGAATCGGAACGAAGGACCGTAGCAGCCAAAGGCATCAGTGTGTGGTCAAATTGTCTGCATTAATAATATTGTCACCATGTAGTGCCTGGCAGCGTGCCACTGCTATTAATACTTAGTGATATAGTGAAGACACCCGACTCAAGGGGCTCGGGCTGTTTGTTGCTCTAGTGTCAGTCTTCTCACTGGCTTTCAGTTCAAAAATTATTCTCGTCAGTGTTGTGGGAGGCTTTTTGATGTTTTGAATAGGATTTGCAAGTGCCTGTTTGTAAGATTTATGATTTTAAGTTTGTTGAGATTTGCTTTTTCTCGTTTACGGTACCTTTGCTGTTGGAGAACTTTTACCAGTTGGCAGTGTTTAGTGAGTTTTGTTTTGGGTTGGAAATAGTTTATTGGTTTAATAATAGAGTTGTGGTAATTGGTGTAAAGTGAATTATTTTATTTAAAATATACAAATTACCTTTACAATTTAGTTGTACGAGTTAGGAAATTTATAGTTATGGCTCTAGCCACCTGTTAGAAGTTTTGTAAGGAGGTGAATGGATGGGCTTGAATGTAGGTAAATGGGAAAAGGCTGATTAAGTAATCATAGGAGTGAAAATAGAGATTCTTATCTAATTTTAAAATCATTTGGATAGTGGTTGAAGTGTGTTAGAATATTACGGTTGTTAGTTTGATGATGAGAAAAAGTTTTAGGAATTTACAATAGTTTGAAAATTATCAGTTCATATTGTTAATGACAGTAAATAATGATTCTGGCTAAAATCAGTTCAATCTTGGTAACAAAGCTATCTTCTGGTTTCCATACTTAACTTATTCACTCATCACAGAACTAAACGAAGCACTCTGGTGTATCAGGGTTGTGGTAAATCAATAATTCAATTACAAAATTATATTACTAGTTGATACCTATATTAGATTAAATATAACTCAGTTAATTTAGTGCATACAAATTTTTTTTTTTTTTTTTTTGAGCCTTGTAAATACTTTTAACCATACTTCTACAATTTGTTGTAGGTTCTACCTGAGGGAAAAGCTAAGTGACAACTTGTGGTCAGACGGGTTCACGATGGACCCGCAACTGATCCGGGACTACTTCTACCGCTTCCTGTACCAGCCGCAGGACAGGGAATATCCAGACTTGTGTCAGCTGCCGGACCTTAACGAGCAGACGCTGTTGGAGAACCTACGATCACGCTTTCTTAACGGCCACATCTACACCTACGTCGGCTCCATACTGATTGCAGTCAATCCTTTCAAGGTATGTGGGAAGGATGTTAAATTTAAAAAGTCTTTTTGCAGTGGACAGGCGTTAATGTGAAAAAATTTTAATCAAAAATGGAAAACCAAGTTGTGTGTAATGATCTTGATAACTGTATGCTGTAGTGGAAGAAGAAAACTTTGAACAATCTTTTTTGTAAATTGGGTTAACGCTATTAAGTTATTTTCAGTAAAAGAGTTAGACAAAAATCTAAAAGAAGAACAGCCTAAACATAACATTGTCTACCAACAATACAGTCTCCGTTTATAATGTTGTATTAACACTTATAGCTATATTAAATATTAAGCTCCCTTTATAATTCAGTAACCATAAGGTGGTTGTGCATAACCTTTAACTAAACCTCAGTCCTGCTAATCTGTAACTTACCACCGGATCTGAGAAAGAAGGTTACTTATATTCAAATTGTGTTTTGTTGAAATGTGTTCTGAAATACCAACTAGAATCTAGCAAACCAGGAACAATGTAAATTGTACGTGAATTTTAATCAAATCATTTACTAATACTTTAGAAATCACAAGAACATTAGTAAGAAGAACGCAATCACAGAGTTGATTGTGAGTATTCCTGTGGTTTGGGTAGCCAAATACAGTATTTACATGATCCCAGGGTCAATTTACAGTCATAAAATTCATGGTTTAATTTTTTAAGCTGTTTAACCGCATTTCAGACTAATCTAAAAAAATTCTTTATCTTACTTGGTCCAAACCCAATTAGTTTGGATTAGCAGGTCTCTTATGTAGGCTACATTAGTTTGTGAATATACTTTCCTTAAGTTTTATTTTGTTCATTGTGATTTGTTCAGCATCACAAGTGTCCTGTAATTAAAGTTGTTTTTAAATCAATCGAGTGGAAGTTAAATCATCGGTTTTGTCATTAACCTGATCGTATGTGTTAACAGTTCCATCCGATCTACAATCCCAAGTATGTCAAGTTGTACCAACACCGAAGACTGGGTCCGGAGTTGCCTCCGCATATCTTCGCAGTAGCTGACTCTGCGTATCACAGCATGCTGCGGAGTAAACGCAACCAGTGCATCGTCATCAGCGGGGAGAGCGGCAGTGGTGAGTTTCAGTGTCACGCTTATGATTTTAATGTCATAGCGACTCATGCTTTAGTTTGAGAGTGAGTTTTGGTTGTGGTTGGAACTAGACATTCTATTCCAATTTTAAAGTTGTAGCCAGTTTCAAAAAAAGTAAAGGTAGTTGATTTGAGACACTGACAAGAGTTTACTGGTGTAAATTACTGATAACTGTCCATTACTCTGTTTTGTTAGCATCATGGAAGTTACTTCTGGGCTAAGTGATTTTATTGCTTTTGTCAATAGTGTAGCACTTTTGATCCCAAGAAATTTGTTGTTCATTATTAGGCCTACTGTTCTTTTTTGGAATATCATTCCAACTTGTATTCTTGAAAGTTGTAGTATTTCAAACTGTGAAATACTGGTAAATATAGGTTATAGTCTATTTAACGATATCCAAGCAATCTACAATTGTATGCAAAGGCTAGTGAGCTAAACCAATTATGTGCAAAACTAAAATTTAACACCCATTTGTTGGGAAGTATAAAATAAAGTCTTATTAGATGCATATTTCTAGCGTATGGATTAAATGTAGTATTAAATTCAGTGGTCTAACAATTTCAGTAATTTGACACTCTGTCCTCATCCCATAAGCGTCAGATAATAACAAAAATAACTATATTTCACGATTGGTTAACATAGAACACCTATTATAAACATTGTGTTTTGTTTTTCCAGGCAAGACGGAGAGCACCAATCTCCTGCTCCACCACCTGACAGCGTTGTCACAGAAGGGAGCGCAAGGCAGTGGCGTGGAGCAGACGATACTGAGCGCAGGGCCAGTGTTGGAGGCGTTCGGTAACGCCAAGACAGCCCATAACAACAACAGCAGTCGCTTCGGCAAGTTCATCCAGGTCAACTACAAGCCCAACGGAATGGTGCACGGGTAAGATAAAGTCACAGTTATATATTTTTTTATTACAGGGAAAATTGTAAGAGAACTTTGCGTTTTGGAGCAATTTTTTTTGCCGTTTTGCCACGATTGGAGGAGATGATTACAACATCTGGTGAACAGTTTAGGTTTTAGGATTTGTAAAAAATATCGTAAATGGTGGAGGGAATCAATTGTACATTTTATTGCATACAATTTTCATTCCAGATAATTTTTTTTTTCATTTCACCAATTCCTAGAGCAGCTCTGATTTGCTAAACCTAAAGTCTCTACACAATAACTATTATGAAAATATGTTTGTAAATCGTTAACAATTGTAGAGATTAAAAAGTCTTTGCAAGTTTTGTATGTATTGTACCCAGAAACAGATAAAATACTGATTTATGTCCTGACTTAATGATGTGCGAGTATACCTAGTTAGATTGAGCTTAAAGGTAAACAAACAACGTTTGTTTTTCTTCACAGTCCAATTTTCTTTGTCATAATTTTTGTTAAAATAACTGTACGTGATTTGTTAACTTTGACGTGATGTGACAGTGCCGTGGTGCAGAAGTATCTGTTGGAGAAGTCGCGCATTTGCTCACAAGGTCGTAATGAGCGCAACTACCACGTCTTCTACTACCTGCTCAAAGGCGCTTCCGAGGATGACCGTACCACTCTGCATCTCCGCAAGGCTGAGCAATACAACTACCTCAACAGGGTGAGAACTAGTTGTAATATTTCTTTGTTATGGAATATTAAGTTAGTGCTCTGGTGGTAGAGCCCTGTTTATCTGAAAATCTACCTCATCCAAACTAAATTTACATGTTCCATTCTGTTCTTTTGTTGGTGTTGGTACTTTGGTATTATACCGGCCACACATTGATAAATCGACTTCCAAATAATAGTTAGATTTTAATTATTTTATGTTTAAATAACAAAATCTTCCTAACCTAACCACACCTCCTTTAGGTAAGGTTAGGTTAGGTTATAATTACTAGGTGTGGTCGGTATAATACCAAAGTACCCTTAGGAGTTCTTGATCTTTGTGTTCTTAGTATCTTTTGTTGTCTAAAAATAAACAACAAGTTGAGTTTTGTAAGGGATTGTTGAGTTTAATTCCTGAGTTTCATCACCCAAGGAACAAACTTGATATTTGAAATGACACGAATGATCAAAAACCCACTGTTTTCTAAGGGTATTCTCATTGAGGTGTTCTACTATATTACTTGAGGAAAGCTCCCATTCTTAATCAAACTTTAATGTATTCCGCTGTCTTGGTTTGCTGGAAGACTATGTCAAGTTTAAAATGTGGGCACATCCTATCCTTAACTTGTAGCCATGTGTTTGATTATCGCTCATTGTCTCTTACTTAACTTACTTTACCAATGCAACCTAAAACCTTCACTAGGTAGTTTTGCAGTGCAGAGTTTTGCTCATAACGTTCTCTCCGTTGTTCACAGAGTGGCTGTTTTGTGCTGGAGAACGTGGACGAGAACCATGAGTTCTCCAGGCTGAAGCAGAGTATGGAGATGGTAGGGTTTACTCCAGAGAAGCAACGCAGACTGTTCGCCGTCCTCTCTGCTGTGTTGCTGTTAGGTAAGTCTCTAGACAATAGCAAGATGCAATCATGGACAACATTGTTTCAAATATCATCCTCTTCCGTGATCATGGCAAAATCCTGAATATCTACTGCAGTCGTACTGGCATCACCAACGTCTTCCGTGGTCGCCATAAAATTGTGTACATCTCCCGCAGTCAGAGAAATATTATTATTGTCCCTCGCAAACATTTTTCTTGTCGTTTTCTGCAATCGATAAAAGGAGGGATTTTTGACAGTGCAATCTTTGCCGATGTCATGATCAGCTTGAATCGAGCTTGATTTTGATGAGCTTATCATGGCTCATCTTCAGCAGCATTATTGTAAGTCAAATTTGTCACATTGAGAGATGATTGTCGACTATTTAAAGGAAACACACATACAGAAATAATTTTACATACCATAATGCTGCTGAAGATGAGCCGTGTTAGGCTCGAAACATGTACAGCATGAATAGTATCTACAATAATTGACACCTTCTGGCAAACGTAATTAGATTATCATCTATAGTGAACTGCACATATAATGGCCTCAGTAACAGTCAGTTTCTGATGGTTTGTACGATGTGCTACAGAAACGTGAGGTTTTCAATCAACACGCGAGTGTGTGACATTTGATTGTAAATCTTACTACAGTTAGAAAATATTATAACAGCTGGAAAATTACTTAAATCTTAGTTATAAGAGTATTTTGAACATAATACAGATGTTGGCATAGTGTTTATTCACCAGAAATTACATTATAAATTGCATGTATTTAACTGTACGGTACTTTTCAAGCCAATTTCAAAGTATTTAAAAGTAACAATAAAAATTTCAATATTCACAGTTTGTGAACCTAGGCATGGAATTTAATTTAATAATGTGCAGATAACAAGATCCCTTTTGAATTTAAGAAACTTGATATTTCTATTAGTGAGACATCTCATAAAATGCCTTGAAATCCGCAGGAAACGTAGAACTGCTGCCTCGCAAGTCTGTGTACCACCACGACGAGGGTGTGGCAGTTGGCAACACTGAAGTAGTAGATATCATCAGCCGACTGTTGAGGGTCAAGCGAGAAACGCTGTTGGCAGCACTGACTGCTAAACGAGCGAGAGCTTCAGGCGAGACATTAGTCATCAACTACAGACTCCCTGAGGTAACTTAGTCCTTTACTATCAATTACCTGAGGTTCTAAAGGAGGCTCTTTAGACTATACCTCCACACTACTTGCAAGCCAAGAACACAATATTCTTATATTTTCATCCATATTCATTCCCAGTTTTCTGTGTTTTAAAAATTGTTTTTCTTTACAAGCTTATCATTATTGACACTCAAGGGAACAGTTAAAATTTTGGATGCCTTAAAAGAAATATTCCTTTTCTGTAGGCTATAGCAGCAAGAGACGCCATGGCCAAGTGTCTGTACGGAGCGTTGTTTGACTGGATCGTACTGCAAGTCAACCACGCTCTACTGTCCAAAAAGGATACTCTTAGGGAACATCAGGGCAACTCCATCGGTGTCCTGGATATTTTCGGGTTTGAAGATTTTGGCCCATACAACAGGTGAGTCAAGTTGCATTGTGTTAAATAATTATGACAAGTGGCCGCTAAATTTAGTACCTATGCCTATACAAAATTAAACTTAGTTTAACTTTCTTTCCTTAATCACTGCAGGTCCTTTATACAGTCCTTTATTCAGCGAGATGTGAACTTTGATAAACTTTGGAATGATTTAATTGATCTTGCATTTCAAAACGTAGTTTCAAAACTGATTATGTTTACAGTTTCGAGCAGTTGTGCATCAACTACGCCAACGAGCACTTGCAGTACTACTTCAACCAACATGTGTTCAAGTACGAGCAGGAGGAGTACCGCAAGGAAGGCATCCGCTGGAGCGACATTGACTTTCTGGACAATACAGCTTGCCTGCATCTGATAGAGGCCAAGCCCAGTGGCCTGCTGTGTCTGCTGGACGATGAGTGCAAGTCAGTATACAACATTGTGAAATAACTTAGCTCCTGTTATTAAGGATTATTGCGCACATTTTCCATCAGAGGTGTTAATACCATCGCCGCAGCAAACCTGCAGACTAAGCGAATTTCCATTTACCTGGCTGGATTTCTACTAAAATATTCTCTAAAAATTGTCAGATTTTATTTCCTGTTTAATTAACCTTAATTTTAGTGAGTACCTAGGTTTGCTGCTACAGGGAAGATATTGAGATGTGTTTTTTTATTGCAATGTCGATAGCTTAGTATTAAATAAACAAAATTTCCAAATGTCGTTTAAATATATCCATAAACAAGCAAACTACAACAGTTTATTTATTCTCCATAAGAATAACATGGGAATTTTAAATTTACAATTTTATAAATTATCTCCGTAACCGTTGGGCATACAACAACATTTTAATATACAAAATTATTTCTTTTTTAAGCTCTACAAAATGGTTTGGAGAGAAATTATAAAATTTTGTGTTTTTGGGGTCATAATGGGAATCAATTTTTATCCCATATAACCCCCCATAAACCATCGTTCCCGTAGTCCGATTATGCTGATTCGCAAACTCGTTCGAATAAACGTAGGTTTCATGAGTCAAACCACTTGTTTATCAGTATTTCTTTAATTTACCTTCATAATTCATGTTTTGCAGTTTCCCTGGTGCATCCAATGAGACCCTCCTGCAAAAGTTCAACTTGGTACACAAGGACAATGCCTTCTATGAGATGCCTCACAAGCGGGAGCCTGCCTTCATTGTAAGGCACTACGCTGGCAGGGTCAAATATCAGGTATTAATAAAGTTCTTTTAAAATTTGCTATATACTCATAGGTATTTTAATCCTTGATGATTTGATATATTCCGTTTGATATATCAAGCAAATATATAGTCAATGACTTCAAAATGCAATATTAAGAGGAAGAATACAAAAAGTACAAGCTCTGTAACAACGCTAATTTGTAAACATAAAAGAGTGAATAAAAAAAGGTCGACTATAAGTACCATGAAAAATTGTGTAATAACCAGAACAAAACGCTTGTGTTTTTATCGGTTTAGTACTTTATCATAGATTTTCATTCATGTTGTAGCTTAAGAAAAGGGTGCAGTTGTTCAGTGACGAGGGTGTGCGACATTTATCTGGGGGTTAAATCCCACCAATGACCGTCTATGGTTTTCAGCTCTTTGGGCAGTCCAACCTAAGCTGTGGTCCACCTACCTAGAGAAAAAAGTATGGTTTCTTCAAGTGAGGGAAACTATGTCAGAGAAACTTCCTCCACTCGAGTCCTACGACATTGAGTGGCTACTGTATCTCTAAATATTTGATTTCAGGTTGCGGAGATGCGGGAAAAGAACCTGGACCTGATGAGGACTGAGATGGTCGGTGTTTTGAAAAACTCCTCAATGGCGTTTGTGCGAGAGCTGGTTGGCGCAGACCCGGTGGCGGTGTTCCGGTGGGCCATCCTGCGTGCATTCTTCAGAGCACACTTTGCATTCAACGAGGCTGGCCGGCGCCATCGCCAGTTCAGAGGTAACAACTAAGAATTGAAAATGAAGCAGTAGTTCATTTCCACACATCTGACTTTCTGTCAAGAAACAATTTACAGCTATCACCTAACATTCGCTGTAAATTGTATAATTAGTTAATTTTTTCCTCATAAAGCTTTTATTAAATCACAATAATCTTTTCACAAAAACATAAAGTTGTTGATGTTGATGGACGAGATTGTCTAAGAAACTACGTACTTGTAAGCTGTCTCAGTTTCTAAAGAAACCTCTTTTTCAGATGGATCCAGGCCAAGTCTTGTTCATAACAGATATCGCAATGAAAACTTAATCAGGTAAATTATTTTCAATTGCTAATTATATATTGCAGTGCCATACCCATTATTAAAATTTGTTTGTAGATACTGTGTTTGAAATTGTGTGACTATCATAGTTGCTAATATTTGTATTGAACTTTGTACATATTCCCAGTTTGTACATCTGTTCTATCTCGGCAAAACGTAACGTAACGTTTTATCTCTTTCTTAGTTTTCACAGTATTGAGAGCTATTATTTTTGAAAATCAATGTTTACTTACAAGTAAGCTTTCATTGGTACTCTGGCAAACTAAAAGATTTCATTAGTTTTAAATTGAGCCTATTTAGTTGCCAAATAGCTATACTACTTCCACTTGCAAGTTGCACAGTGTACTCCGTAGTTGTGTACGTTACCAGTAAATCAGTTTGACACGGTTGTTCTGTTTTGTAGCCATCTTGTGACCGTGTCATCAGTTAACCTCACGGTTAACAGGATAGCGTAAGTTGAGCACCAAATAAGTGTTTCATTGTCAACATAGGGATGGGCGAGTACGCTCAGAAAGGGCAAGCAATTTAAATTGTTATTAAGTTATAACAATAATAATTAATAATTTAAATTTTATTAAGGAAATTGACAAAAATCAGGATTACCTTTAAATAAGTCCATAGAGACACATAAAATATACAACACAAATGTAGAAATTTTCGTGAACTGGAGAAATGGCAATGGCAGTTGAACCAGCCACTCAACTACGAAAACTTCTACTTTTGTGTTGTATATTTTATGTGTCTCTACATGGACTTATTAAAAGGTAAGCCTTAGCCTGCTTTCCTGTCAATTTCCTTAATTAATTCCAGGCAAATACCCTATCTTTTTATCAGATATCAATAATTATAATTTTTTCATTTTTTTAATCAATAATTTGTTATTGAAAAATAAAACCAGCTGGATGAAATTGTAATCGGAACAAATGAGGGACTATACAAATGTAGCCTTTTGTTAAAATGATAATTTAAAATTTTAAAATATCATAATCATGTAAAAAATAATCATTAAATTTTAAATTATTTTTACGTCTAGTTCAATTTTATGATTGTTTCTGTTTATTGGATAGTTTATTTATGGATTGCGTTGAGAAACTACCGTAAAATAAATCTGAGTTTATTATAACTGGGAGGTATTGTGACTGGTTTAAAAATTATATTCCAACATTTCAAAAAAGCTATAATTTTTTCTTTCATTAAAAAATGGGTAGCCTCTAGATTACCAAGATATAAGTTGTTTAAATAACTGTGTTATCCGTAATCTAGTTGTTTGCTGTGGCAACTAGTTTCGGCTCACATCGGAGGCTTTACAATGATTGGATAGCTTCTTCCGAAGGTCATCTTTCACACACATCTAATAATCTAGAAGTAAACTCCCACCGGTTGCATCGTAAGAGCTCTAGTCATGCTCAATATCTTTGTTATTTTCAAATTATAGTGAGCCGAAACTAGTTGCCACAGCTACTAATTTATTGCCGATAATACAGGTATCTACACTAATTATCGTATCTTTCCTTAAAAGGAGTAAAATATTTCCCTTCAAGTTTAAGACTAGTGCTCGTCCATCCCTCAAGTTAACAGGTCTTCTTATTATCTTTGGTTGGAGTTTGGTTATGCACTAAATTTTGGTTTAAACAAGTTATTTTTTGTTACCTCCTTAAACCTGTTTTGATGTGTAACTGTTGTGTGATATAATTATTTTGTTATTAATCATTTAGTGTTCTATTGTTTTACATGGACATACACATTTTTTATCTAACTAAGACTACTTTTAAAATTTTATTTACTGGAAACAGGAAACTGTACTAAGAAATATTTTTACATACATACGATTCAGTCAGGGCTTCACACCACAGGCCCTCAAAGTGTATGTGGTATAATTTGCAACAATTAGAAAATAGAATTAACATTTAAATTATGCCAACAGATTTTATTTTAATACATAACCTGAAAAATATGTTTGGCTCAATAGCATTTGTTGTAAAATATTTCCAGTGAGCTATCAAAAACATTATTTACTAATTTGTATTTCCAAACAAAACCAACTATCTAAAGAGAATCATTTAACAACTTTAATAGATTTCATTAACATATATGTTTAATGTTGAGTAAAATGTAACACTGTAAAACTTGGTGAATTATCAGTTTACATTTTTTCCCACAAACTGTCATAATTATGTTACTAACTAAGATAAGAGGAACAAAGAGTTGAAAATAACGGGTTTTGGGTGAATGTGACAGATTGTACCCAAGATATGGTGCTAGCACTTCTAACTTACCAACGAAGACGAAACAAAACAACGACAAGTTCGACGAACAACGAAAAGAGCCACAAAGAAACAACCGTTTCAGTTGGCCGAACCAACAACCAACGAATCAGACAACGAACAAACAACGAACCCCAGACAGCGACAAAAAACCTGTCTTCCGACGAGCCATTAATCCTGAAGATGCTAAAGTTTTTGAACGTGCGACTCAAATCGTGATGTATGTATTGGGACTTGTTTATTCGGTTGGTGGCGGGAATTACTGGTGGTGGTGGACTAAACAAGGAAGCTTAGTGTTAACACATTTTAGTTCTTAGACCTGCATAATCTTACTGAATGCGTAGCTATTATAGTTTGTACATTCAGTAGAACCTCGCCAATTCCAATTTCAGAGGAAACCCAATATATTTTGATTAGTAAGTTTGAATTATAGAGGTCAGAATAAATTAAATGTGAATTATGGGTGTCAAAGTTTTAAGTGTAGAGAGTTTGAGAGAACGGAGACTAATGAACACATCGTGGGAACATCAATAAGAGCGTCAGTTCATGTTAGAACATGAGTATTGTTCTAAATTAGAATTACAGAGGCTTACGGTAATGCAGTTTGAATTGTAGAGGTTGACTTTGAATTTTGGAGGTAGCAATTCAAACTATGGCAACAAAATTTGAATTGTAGAGGCTCAAGTATGTGCAAATTTGAATTGCAGAGGCTGCATTAAGTGTAAAAATTAGGGGTCTGCGGTACAGAAAATTTAAGGTCGGTACGGTTCGGTACGGTACAATATTTTGTACCTCGGTTCTCGGTACAAAATCGGTACGGTACGCGGCTACCCGTATTTTTGCGGTTTTCTTCTCAGAACTGTATCCAAACCATTATTTTTAACTTTAATACATAGACATTACTATGAAAATGGATGGTATAATACATTCATGGTTTTCTAACAACAATTACTGTACCACATATTATTAAAACAAAACCTTTTACTACTACGAGGATTGTGTCAAGAAAAATCACAGTTGAGATAAAGGCTTTACCTATTTTACTCTGAGATACTTTGAATAGCCATGATAAAGTAGTTTAAAAATAGGATGAGAGTTTTTATGAATAAACATGTTTGAAACATTTATTGACAAGATAATTTCACAAAACTGATAAATTATTTCCAACCAACACAATGTCTAGTTGTTTTTTTTTTTTTTTTTTAAACATATAAAAGCATTCAGTAGAAGACAGTGTAGTTTTGCCAGCTGTTCACAGCAGATGACAATGAAAAACTGGAGGTTATGATGAAGTAATGGCAAAGACCATTTTTTTTATCAGCTTCAAAACTAGTTAAGTTATAAGATGGATACAATTCTTGCAAAGTTTTTTTCTGAAACTAAAATTTGGATTATCACAGAGTAAGATTTGATGTTGGGCAATTAGACTTTATAACTGTGTAAAAGGTGTGTATCCCTGAATTTATAAATTGCATTCTACACTTATTCACTGCCAAACATAATTCAGTAGAACCTTGATGAACCGAGAATTACACTAGCCTACATAACTTCATTACCCCAAGTAAAATACCAAGATAATTTTTATAATTGTATTTGAATCGTATAATCTTAGTTTGTTAAAAATGGATTGTATGTTCAACAATAATTGCAGTCCATTATTGTTAAGCAGTATGGTCCCAAATTATTGTTTTTGATTTTGAAACATCACAGTTCATTTGACAAAATTATAGTTGAAGCAGCTCAATGTCAAGTCACGCACGCTTGTGCAATAGTTTGTTTACATGCTTTCTCCAGACCACGGGGGAGGGGAGGGTCTGATAAGCCGTCTATTGTTCACCCCCAAGAAGGTCCGACCCTCATTAGTGCCGCTCGGCTGCACTCAGTGGGGAACCCAATACCACAAATCAATCTTTTAAATGAATACAAATATTTGGTAATAATTGTTTTATTAATATTCACCGCTGATAACGACATGGGTGATTAGTAACCATGGCAACTTGTTGAATGCGTGATGAAGGGAAACCCAAGAAATAGAAGAACAAAGAGAAAGAATGACGTTGTTATCTTTATACCCTTTTTACAATTTCCGTTATTGTTATCTTTATGTAAGGTTTTATGATTTTGTTTTATAGGTTTATAAAATAATTCTTTTTAACTACGGGAATATCAATTTATAATTTATCAACGTGCTTCTCTTCTGAAACAGCAATACCGGATGCATAATAAAGGTCAATGGCCTAAAATATCACGATTGTGCAATATTGTATTTTGATGTTGAAATTAAAATTACGACAAAAGTTTGTATATATCCATGGTCGTCAATAGAAGGATAAAATATCCATAACAAATATTTAATTTATAAAATAAGATTGTAGATTTGTTACAAGTTTAATATGTAGCCATAAACAGTTTTATGGCAGTAGGCAATGGCCAGCGGCAAATTCAATATTCACGAAAATACTGATTAAGTTAGAGATAACATTTAACAGTCATCACAAAACTATTATTTTTATGATAAAACAGAATTGGGGAAAGTCGTAAAGAAATAAAAGTGATAAAACTCAACAGTTCTTGGAAGTACTTCAATACAACAATTATTGTCGTGATAAAATGTTAATGGATTTGGGACTGCTAATGGGTTTTTTATTGCATCATCACGCTAGTAATAAATTATGAAGATCGTAAACAAACATCTGATAAGACATTTATGTGCTCGGAACCAACTGCCGTTGACTACGATAATAAACTGAAAGTAATTTATTATTATAATAGGCTGTACCGAACCGAATTTGTACCGTGTAAAATGCTGTACCGAACCGATGACGGTAATTAAGCTTGTACCGTACCGTACCGACTTTTTCGGTGCACCGCAGACCCCTAGTAAAAATCACTTTGAATTATCGGTACCTATATTATTTGTCGAAGTTTAGAAGTTTTCTGAGGGGATCAGACAAACATTTCTTATTATAGAGGTTTTTGAATCATCGAGGTTTGAATTAGCGAGGTTCTACAAAGAAAGGTTAGAAGAGGTATTAAGTACTGTACTGTAGTTGCTCATCTGCTTATTTCTTATTTATTTTTTTGATTAGAGAAGGTTTTTTGTCTGCTGCTTAGATGTAACTGAAGTTTTCACTCATCAATTAAGGAGTAAATTATGTATCAGATTGGACGCACTGAATTTAATTACTGATTATTAATCAAAGAGTTCTCAAATATATTTAAAAATTTGCCTTAAGCTAAAAAAAACTCCTTACAAATGTTGATTGAAAAAAAATTAAATATTCATGTAAAGTCCCTCTGTAGTCACTGATTTGCTAGACTGTTTGGAATGTAATTTTGTTTGCTCCTTTTAAAGAAAATGCTATACTTGTTTGAATTGTTAATACTGTAGCATTGCCTTTGAACTGCAGGAAATACACCAACTTACTATAGACTGTTTTGTTACCTTTTCTTGCATCTTTTGTGAGGGATAATATCCGTGTTACCTGATGTAAAGCTATTTGATAATTCTGATTAAACTCAAATAACAACTTTTTAACTACACTTCACAAACACCATTTGCATTTTTCTGGAAAGTGGTTCAATCAATTCTATTTTTCTGACAATATATGTCTGCTTGTAGGAAGAACAAGTCCTTCAGACCTCGACAGCAGGGCAAGAAGGGATTGAAGAACTTGGAGAGTATCAAGACGCTGGCTGGCCGGACACAGACACATACACACAAGGCTCGTAAACAACCACTTACGGTGACTGCTCAGTTCCAGCAATCTCTGCACAGCCTCATGGACACGCTCAACCAGGCCAACCCGTTCTTTATACGGTGTATCAAGAGCAATGCGGAAAAGGTGGGTCTAAGTTCCTCATACTGGTTAATTTTCGTTTGGTACTGTGATTTGTTAAGGAATATTCTTGAATGCACTTAACACACTTCTTGTTCACATCTATTTGGTTTAGACTTGAGATGGTTAAGACTGGTGTTGGTGGAAACCAGAAATTTCTTATATAAAAATCTCAAATCTTGAAATCTGTACGCAACACTTTTTACCTGCGAAGATTGCAAAACAATTTGGGTAAAAATTATATAATGTTTATTTTGCGATCAAAACTGAAAGAAATCGGACTTCTGACCCTGACATGAATAACATGGCTGATACACCTAATCCTAGAAAACAAAATTTGTGTCGACAACGAACACAGAAATTAATTAAACTTCTGACTAGCATTGTAACATAAGAGAATGAAAACCAGTGTTTACTTATTTACTTTAACATAACATGTGAACCTATTAAACTAAACTATGACTTTCCTTTACAGATTCCAAACACGTTTGATGATGACACAGTCCAAAGACAGCTGAGGTATACAGGCATGTTGGAGACTGTGAGGATCCGACAAGCCGGATACAACGTCAGACTCACCTTTGATGAATTTATCCAGCTTTACAGGATACTTCTACCTAGAGGACTGCTCAGGTGGGATAGTCAAATCTCAACTGTGTCTTGGCTCATTTATTTTGAGAATTGTATTATATTAGAACTAAGATGACCATAGAGAAGTAAGGTACAGAAGAAACTTGCTTATGGGACAAGCTGCACTTTCTGCTCTAGCATGTTGTGCTGAAAATATACTTGTGACGAGCAAGGAAGATCTTGAGCAGCGAGCTCTGTGTTTGAGTTCCTATCACATAGGGCACAGGGTCTTCCTCCACCATGAGTGTTGTAGTACATGATGGCAAGAGGAAGGGCACAGTTCACTTGGCCTCTCCATCTTCTTCTGTCCTTCTACAAATCTTATTCCTCCACAAACTGCCACTGCACTCCTCTTGCTTCCACATCTCCTTTCACCTTGTCAATCCACCTTCTTCTAGGTCCTCCTCTGGGTCTTCTGCCGTTGGCTAACTCATGTTTTTGGTGATTCTATCATTTTCCATTCTTCTTAAGTGGCCCAACTATCTCATTATCAATTTCTCTGCTCGCAAAAGATTCAAGATTGAACATCCAATGGATGTATGCCTATTAAATTTTCTATACATCCAATGTTCTTGTTACCAGTAGAATGATACATGTTTGTGTGGACAGCTCTCAGAACGACGTGAAGGACTTCCTGCTGACAGTGAACCTCAACAGAGACAACTACCAGGTGGGAAGCTCCAAGATATTCATGAGAGAGAGTGAGAAACTCAAGCTGGACTACAAGCTGCATCAGCAGATCATGGCTGGCATCGTAAAGGTCAGTGTCCAATATCAGCTTACAGATCCAATACTACATACAGAGTTGGAACTAGTCTACTACAGTAGAACTGCAATGAGGCTGTACCACATGCGGATGGTGAAAAGTTTGAGTAATTGAATTAAGAAAAAAAAATTGGAGTATTTTTATGGGTCTCGGAAGATTTTGCGATTGAAAAATGTACTCTAATGCTGCAATTGCGAATGACAGTGATGACGTTTTTGAGAATGCAAGAGATGATGAATTTCTCATGAATGTAGGAGGCAATGATGACGTCTACACACAACTGTAGGAGATGATCAGTATTTTGCATGATCACGGATTATATAGATTCTTTAATATGGATGTAGCTTGGATGATTGGAGTTCTGTACTTGAAATGAGGCGTAAACGGTCACACTTAACTTCAATATTGTTGACTTAGTAATGTGTCAAATTACAGGCAAGTTTAGCTGTTGTTTCAGCCTATGAAACATCTCTGCGCTCTCGTAGCCAACTCCAGTAGTGGTGGTTACTGCTCTGAAGTTCGCAATCTGCGACGGCTGAACTGTCAGTTCAACTTACCTGTAATATTCTACGGTTTTACCCTGAAATCCACAATGAACAGTTAATAAAGCTATGCAGTTGGTTTTTAGAGTAAAGTTCTGTTTTAAAAACATATAATACTATTGTACCAAACCTTAAACAATATTAATAGACTTTTGGACATAGGACATTTTTAATTGTAAGGAAGTAAAATGTCACTCCTCTTTTATATCATTTTATATTTCAGGTTCAAAGGTGGTTCCGAGCTGTGTTGGAACGAAGAAGGTTTGTAAGGCTGAAAGAAGCTGTCATTACAATACAGGTTTGTATTGTTTTTGTGGTTATTTCACTGTAAACTACCTTTAATTTGAATTTTGTTTTTAAAAAATATACTTATTACTTTACATTAGGGATGGACGAGATTGGATTTTTAGTTCGAGACGAGACTAGACGAGATTTTTTATTTCTCATAAAATTTCGAGACAAGATCGAGACGGGATTTCCCTTCTCATACACAACGGGAAATGCACGTTCGGAATTTTTACCTGATTTTGTAACATTGTTAGATGACTGTTTAAATACAAAAATAATGATAATAGGCAAGAATATTTACAATCTATTATTAAAAAACATCAGCATAACATTTTTTTATTAATCACGCCTAACTTATTAAAAATGCCTACGATTAGGAAACATAGTGATATCAGTTAGGATAGAGTTCAACTTATCCTAAAATAAAATAAATTATAAAATAAAATATTAATTTTTAGAAAATAGTTACTTGTTTTGACTTTTTTGATAGTAATAAAACATTCCTCACACTGCTAACACTTAACAAAACTTCTCAAATGTTATTAAAATAATTAAAGTAATATTTACATTTGAAGAATTAAATAAGAACGCCTTCGCAAAGGAAACGCAACTACAACACGCTCCTGTATTGCGGGTATTGCATTGACTTTCTGCAGGTGTTTTATTTATTTTTTTTATTTTTATTCTTGTCTCAATAAAAATCTTGGCCAAAAAAAAAATCTCGTCTCGTGTAACAAGATTTAAAATTTCCTGAAAATTTCCCGAAATTTCTAGACTTGACCATCACTACTTTACATTAAACTAGATTACTTTTTATTCAAGTGGTATTCAACCCTGCTTGGTTTAGTAGTTGCTTAGTTTTTGGGGAGGATTCACTCCATCAACAATCACTCCAAACAAAGCGTACTTTAGATATTCATGTACTCAAGACATTAATTCTTGCACAGTTTTTTGTTCCCTCTTTTTTAGTAGTGCATTAATAATATTCCTTTGTGATATATATCAGGTATTGCACTGAACAATCATTATCTCTGCTGCTCTAGACCATGTATATTTTTTATATCTGATAAACTGTGTTTGCATGAAACCACTTGGCGGTAGGTTACTTGGCTCGGATAACTTAAAAAACTCGAAAACTAGGAACTTGTCCGTGCTACTGGCCTTGTGTAAACGCAGCTTTAATGATTTAACCAGTGTCACTGTTACTGTTCTACTCCACATTCTATTGTGTATTATTCTTTCCCTGTTGCAGGCTTACTGGAGAGGCGTGTTGGCTCGCAAGCAGGTGTACCAAGACAAACAGTGGAGCTCGGCGGCCGTGCAGATACAATCAGCCTGGCGCGCCTACTCCACCTGGCGTTGGTACCAGAAGCTCAAACGGAACATCATTGAGTTCCAGGCACACGCTCGCGGCTACATCACCCGAAACAGGGTGCGCTCCATGGTTCCTCGGAAGGTAGGTTTTGTTTTAGTTTATTTTATTTGGAAAGATTCGCTTTTAGTCAAACAAGTGTTGTTATTTTTTTGAAGGCCATGTGATACTAAAACCTGGTGGTGTAACAAAAGATATTATATTAACCTCAAAGCAATATTTATGCCTAAAAACTTCCTCTCATTCGCTAGCATACTGTACACTACTTGCCGACTTACCCACGTTTTATCTCATTCTTATTTTTCTCAGGCAAAACTAACCAACAGTAGACCGCCTTTGTCAACAGAGACGAGCCACGAAGATGTCGGCAGCAGGGATTCTGAGTAAGTATAACCTTATCATACTTAGTCTTTGTTAAAATGATTATTGATTTGACAAATTTGATTTGGTTTTTTTGGATACAGAATTTAAATGTAATCAATTATTGTAATTATTAAACCTTTCTTGTAGGAGCAGTGGGATCCATGAAGATAGTGATAATGAACAAAACCATGAACCCCTTGCCAGGCGAAATCAGCAAGACGACACTTTACATGAAATAAGGTAAAATTAATCCCATCATTTGGTTGATATATGTACAATCTAAGGTGTATGTCAAATATATTATGATAGAGAAACAACACATCATTCCAGAGTTGCCATTAATCTTGAGTTTCTTGACTTACATGAGTAATGTATGAATATATTCCCATGCAAAAAGGATGTGTATTATGTGAGAACTATCATCACTCGACTATTAACTTAATGTGGTTCGATTTGCTGATCGGTTGGTTGTCATGCTGTGTTGTAACAATGCAATTTTGTATGTTGTTTTTGCTGCTTGTAGTTTTTTTTATTGCCTGGTTATAGGGATTTACGATCATCAACACAAAGCCCAAGTTCATGGATTATAACATATTAAATGTGTTGTTTGATTTGCTTGATATTTAACTACGAAATTATGTTAAATGTTTTGAAACGCTTTAGATATTTGTACTTAAATTAACACATGGTTACAGAGTGGGAGACCCTAACAAAGAAATACAAACAAAGAAGAAGTTATCACCGAGACGGAGTAAAAACACTTTCTACCTGGAAGACAGTTCACTGGGTAAGTTAATTTTACCTTTTTAATTTTTGCTCACTTAAGGTAGCTTACGTACCATAATGCATTAGTTTGTAATGTGTTTTGATTAGTTTCCTTTGATGTTTTTGCACTTTTTGATTGAATGTTGCAATGTTGGTTTTGTCAAATTAAACTTCATTCTATTTAGTTCCATGTGAATGTCCTGCATCACATGATAAAAAGTTGGTTGATTCTATGAAATGATTTTTTGTACTTTGGCTTGTTTATCTAATGCATTAATTTGTTCCATAATTCCTTATTTTTAAATGTCCTTAAAAAAATCTAATTTTTCAACACATTGATGAACACACTGTTAATTTTTTGCATACCTAAAAAAAGGCAATACATTGTGTAATTAATAATTTTCATCAAGTTAAAGGGTCTTGAGAAATTTTCCCATTTCAAACACAGTTACTGTAAAGATTAAAATAATTATGACAATCTACTTACATATTGCCTGAAGGTGATTCAAGCTGACTTCCCAAGCTTTAAACATGTACAGCATGAAACGTAACTGCATTTGTCACCTTCTGGCAATACCCAAGTAGATTATCATCTACAATTGATTATTAAGGGTGTCAAGGCTGCTCAATTTAAAATAGCACTATAATCCAACCTGTTGGGTGAATTATTTTATATGTGTTATTTCATTTTCTGTTGTCTTTGCTTTACCATTTGCTATATGTACTAGCAAAAAAATAATGTTTTACATAATTGGTTTTTCCTAACCTGCAAAATGTATGCTTTGGCATTTAACATTATTCAAATAAATTTGTTTTGTATCCGCATGAAACTATCCTATATGAGCTAAATTTGGGTATTTAAATTTTAGACAAACTGCAACAGATGTTTGTTTTGCTAGATCCAACTAGATATTTTTATTTTGTCAATTAGTTTACATAGCGTTATCTGTGTGCCAACACATGTGGTTGTGTGAGGTGTTGGTAGCTTGTTTGTCGCACTGCCACGTTCGCTGTTTGCACGTGTCTGTTGCATGTGCAGACGCCAAGGAGCGCAAGGGCAGTAGTGATTCGCTCACGTCCACTCGGAGCAGCGACTCTCAAGTGCGAGACACGCTGTACAGAGCCAAGCGTCAGATCCAGGCGCTCATGGGTACGATTCACTCTTAGGGTCACCTTGTGCTTTCTATGCTATGTTATGTGTTCTCTGTAAAAGTTAAGCTATGTTTTACGTGTTTTTGTGATGTTAGCTGAGTGGATTCCATAAGGTCGATGGTTTGTGGAGAAAAGTTAGTTGGTTTTTGACAGTTTTTAGAAAATAGTATCAGCTTTCCTTGATCAACTCACATAGGATTTTTAATCGAGTCAAGCTTACTGGGATCGTAATAATAACATTTAGTAAGCAAGAATATAAGCTTGGCTTCATTTACTGACTTGATGCTTGATCTACCGAGTTTTAAAATGAAGGGACTTAAAAAGCTTGCGAGTCTGTACTTATGGCTGCTGTGTAAGGTAACAAATTTTGTTCGCTATCCATTCTGCACTCTTTCTTCACTTTTATACAGTTTACATTTACAACCATTTATAAAATATGTATTACAAAATATAAATTAAAAACAATATAAATAAAAAAAATATGTAAATTATTCAGTAAATCTTTATACTATTATTTACAAGTATCATCAACTCTTACTTTAGGTTAACAGTGCTAAACGTAATTAAACAAAAGTTGCGGTAGAATAAGTTTTTTTATTCTTAAAGACATTTTGACTTGGCCGTCAGCTCCTGATTTTAGATGTAGGCCATTGGAACAATTTAATTCTGATTTGTTTTATTAATGTGAACAGTAGAGAGGTTTAACCTGTAGAAATCTCATTGTGTTAATGTACTATATACATCCCGATACAAATTGTATTCCAGAGGAGCTAAGCCCTCCTAGTCCAAGAGAGGAGGGGAGGTGGCAGAAAGGTCTGGGATTGGTCTCTAGAAAGATTAGGGGTAAGGACGAGTAACCCTTAATCTGCCCCACCCATCAGTTTGTGTAAAATAACCCCTTTAGTTTGTGTTAAAGTCGTGTTGGAGTTTCCCTGTACAATTTTAATTTTTTAAACAAGTTCATTCATTTTTTTATAATTGTAGTTGTTTTTGCTCCAAATGACTCAAACTCCTCCTTACTGAAAGTTAGAAGTCTAAACTTGATATAAAGTATTTATAACTGGTTGTATGATGTTTTAACTTAATTTATCTTTTTCCCCATCCTCGAATTTAGAAAAGCACAGTGTCTATAATTTTTTAGCTTTAGCAATCATTTTGCTCAGTAGTTAATTATCTGCATTTTCTCCTAGGAAGGAACTCAGTTAATATGTAATAAGAATATTTTGAACAGAATTCACTGCAATTTTCTAGACAGTTTTCTACTGCCTATAAAATAAATTAAAAGTTAATTTTGATCATTTTGTGTTTCACTAATTTAGCTAGCACTAATTTAATGATTTTTTATTCCCCATAGGTATTTGAATCATATACTTTGAAAAGGTTATTTTTATTTAAATCTAAAAAGTAAATTCACATCTATTCCTGAAATCTGAAGTATTAACTGTATATTTTGTACTTCAATAAGTGGGATTTGAGAAGGATTTATTGTGAATGCTTCGCACGAGTCAGCTAGTTTTAACTTAATCAACAGTAGATTCTTCACTTACAAGTAAGATATAAAATTACTATGGTAAAACAACATCATGAATAACTAGCCAGAACCAGCAATTACCAGTAAATAATCATTTAGAAATACTTATTGGGATTTTTATATTCTCCCCCCCCCCCCCTTAGTCTTGTTAATAAGACTAAGGATTAGCCTGGCAATAAAATTGGAGGGACTTTCAATGTATTACTAGTTCAAGTTGGCTGTAATAAGCTGTTGTAGGAATTTTCTGTATGAGTGAGCTTTTTGTGTATGTCTCAAAGCTGGCACTTTGCTCACCTTAATGTGTGTCCAGTCCACCAAAAGCTTGTTACTTTGTTAATTGGATATATTGTGTTCATATTGTGAGGGAAAAAACATGAAAATTACCTTATTTATAACCCAAATAGCACAATTTGTGAAAAGTTATAAACTCTAATTCAACCCACCTTTGTCAATGTTGTAGGTGTTGGAGCAAATAAGAAGACAGACACACTGAGCGATTGTGAGATGGACGATGTGAGAGAGCCGTTGTATCACCCGATGATCGTGACTGGTCGTGCACCCACAGTGGACGCCGAGCCACTGGCACCGACACGACTGGCACGGCGCCGAGACAACGCTCAGCAAATGTCAGTAGATCACAACCATCGTATACCTCTGTAATAATACTGAAGAACAGAACAGTGTTACAAACACATTATTATTTGGAGTAGAGGGTGTCTAAATTGAGAAATACCGGGATATTGGGAAAAAATACTGAAAATGAATCTGATATATACTGTGGGTTTTTTTTTATTTAAGAGTTCAATTCAGCTATAAGTTGTATCTATTAGCCTTATTTAGTATACATTAGCCCATAGACTATATTTTCCCAGGTAAGCTAAGGTGAATTTTTGGTCCATTGCTTTTCAAAAAATCCATGTATACAATAGAACCTAACTACAATAGAAACTAAGTCCATTTCAATTTCAGAAACTAAGTCCATTTCAATTTCGTAAACTAACTACATTTTCAACACAGATATAGGATTAATATTAAATAAAGTCAAAGACAAAACTATTCTCTCTGGTGAGTGAAGCCCAAAAATAACAGCTGATATATTTGCAGACCATCACAGCTGGACTTGAAGCGAAGGAACAGTGACCCGGCGAACCGTCTGCCCCCTCCCCCTGCACCACCACCTCCGCTGCCCCCACTGCCATCCCCAGACCTGGGCCTCCTGGAGTGGAAGGGCACGTCCATGTTCACCATCGCAGGACACAATTTCTGCAAAGAGGGTCGGTTCTCCAAGGAGGACCGTTGTGCTTACTGTGACAAACCGATGGATGCCTTCCTCACTCAGGGACACAAGTGTATAGGTGAGTAGGTATATTATGTAGTTAGTCTGGAAAATAGGTTTATACCAGATTAAAATCAGGCAAATGAAAATTGGTCTGATGTAGTTGGAGTATTTTGTTGTATTCAATAACTAAATTCAGAAAGATAAAAGTATTTTAATCTTAATTCTCAGATAATTTAAAACCTTAATTATGTACCTATTGAATGTTGTAAAAGACCATTGTTGTGTTTCAGACTGCAAAGCGTTGTTCCACCCCAAGTGTATACAGAACGGTGGCGTGCTGTCGATGCCGTGTGTGCCGAGGGTGAGTGGTGGTCGCAAGAAGCACCGCAAGACGACCCGCAGCCACGGTCACAACATGCACGGCCCGCAGTCTCTCAGACCTTCGGCCCCGCAGCAACAACTGTCTCAGTTCAGTCTGACCGGCACCAGCGAGTTCACTGACCGAGCAGACCGCATCATATCAGATGTGCGTGAACTGCAACTGATGCAGGACTTCATCACAACCAAGGTACATAGAGTTGATTATTTGCTGTTTTACAACTGATGGTAGGCTGGTAAATAATATTTATAATTGTATAAATTCAGACTATAGGATATATAAAGCACAAGGGCCTTGGTTTTTAGGATTCTTTGAGTGGATAGCAGGCTTACCTGAATGGGAAAGAGTACAAACTGGCACAGGAAACACAAAACTTTATACTTGGTATATACTCAAAACATTAGAATATTGCACTGTTACTGACAGCATTTTCAACTAAGTAAGAGAGAGTTTTACTCAACAAAAATCCTAATAAGGCTAGTTTTAGTTGTGGTAGTATGTCATTCTCATTTCCTGATGCTGGTACCCCACATACCATTGTGCCATCTCATAACATAATGTGTTAAGACAATTTTCCTAGCGTTATTTCGTACTAACCACTAGATAAAAATAACCTTGAATGAACTTCTAACCAACTACTCAACTCTGAGTCGGACTACTCGGCTTGACCTTGAGTACTCGTTAAAACTTGAGTAATTACTTTGCATTTTTGCATATACTTTCCATTTCCATACTTCTAACTACTTTATTTCTCAGTGGTCAGGGAAAACCTGGAAAAGTAAGGGAATTTTGTGTTTCTATTTTTCCATTCAATTGTATTTTAACATATTCTCATTCTCAATGAGTAGAACAATAACACATTTAATTATCGTCATCCATAAAGTAAATTTTATGAAACCTTTAGGCAACATTATGTTTATGTGTGATCTATTTTTCATTGATTTCCAGATCTACAAGATAGAGAGTGGGGACAAGCAGAGTCAGGTAGACAGGGTGTTCAAGCAAGCTCTAAGAGAGTTCAAGGATAACCTCGTAGCTACATACAGTGTTGTCAACAAGCAGGGACCAGAGGCACTCAATATCAAGTATAAGGATCTGATCGCCAACTTCCTCAGAGTAAGTCGATTGATACACTGTCTTGAAGTCTTAGCAAAGTAGTATTTAAGACGAAGCTTGAATCAAGTAGGTTATTGGAAACTAACTTTGGTGTTACAAGGCTGGTTCTGGTTAAGATATTGTTTGTATGACAAATTGTCATACTTTTTTAGTTTTCTCTCTACCAAAACCAGTGAAAATGCGTATAAAGGAACAGTCGATCAGTAAAAACTCCTCAAGTTTTAAATGGATATCCCTGAAATCATTAAAACCTACTCATACGGATCTAGCCTATACTCATCTTTATCTGTTTTCCAAATTATCATTAAAATACCCCCGCTGCAGCAAACCTGCCGACTTAGAGAATTTCCATTTGCCTGGATTGATTTGTAATTATTAATCTATTAAATTAACATTTGTGTTTAACGAGTAACTAGGTTAGCTGCTACAGGGAAACTAACAAAGTGTGTTTTTATTAAAATATCAATAGCTTAGTATGAAATAAATGAAAACGCCAAGTTTGATCAAAATTTATCCATAAACAAGCCAACTACAACATATTATACTATTCTCCATAAGAATAACATGGGAATTTTAAATTAACAATTTTTTTTAATTTTCTCAGTAACCAATTATTTATTGTACAAAAACACTTTGATAACTAAATTATTTGTTTTTTAAGCTCTTTAAAAAGATCTAGAGAAAAATTGATAAATTGTGTGTTTTAAGGTAAAAAAAAATAGAAAAACCCATTTTTACCCCATGAAAACCCCCGTTAAACCCCGTTCCCATGGTCCAATCATGCTGGTTCGCGAACTCATTCAAGTTTATCCTGCCTTACACCTTCAAACCAAATTTTATCAAAATCGGACAAAAATTACTCAAGTTATCGTGCGAATGGACATATACATATATAAAATTTTGAACGAATGGTGTTTTTGGCCTCTGGAGACATCAAAATGAAAAAGTAAATCGGTCCCGGGCCTAGGTCTTACCATGAGACCTACGGTAATAGCTACTTCCCTATAGGGAAATTCGCTAAAATGACTAGGCTTGTTCTTCAACATTGTCAAAGTACGCCAAAAACTTAAAAAAACGCCTAAAACTAATTTTTCATGATATAACAGAGATGTATGTTTAGTTTCATGTAATTATTTTCTTTGGTGTTCTTTCACATTTCAAGCTTTAAGGATAATTACACTACCTGTATTGTACATATTAGACCAAAATATAATACATGTTTTACAATGTAAAGTGCACAAAGTCAAAACACTCATAACTTTTGCAGGTGATGGAGACAGTCTGCACCCAAGAGCAGACAAAGACTGACTTCCCGGTGACGATGGGTGTGAACGCTTTCCGCGGCTTTCTCAACGAGTTCATGGCGCAGACAAGAGTAGAGCAGGTGAAACCTCACAAAACGAAGAGGAAAAAAGAGAAGAAACGCAAGACGGAAGATCCAATTGCACACGCGGGCCACCATTTTGTGTTGACTATCATCAATATACCCACCGCCTGTGAGATCTGCACTAGTTTCTTCATGTGGCCGCTGGAGCGGGGCCTCGTGTGTCAGAGTAAGAGATTTTGTTTGATTTAGAAAATTAAAATTACCTCCTAGTTAAGGGTTTATTTTCTAGAGTTTGTGCATTTAAGTGAGGTCCGAGATGGGAGTTGTGCTGTTAACTTATTGAATTCTATAATTATATTTGTAAACTGTGATTTTAACACGTTCCCTACCGACCGTCATACTCCTCTGTAACTGAGGGATGAGTATAGTTAGCTAATGTGTTAACATGTTCCCTACCGACCATCACACTCCTCTGTAACTGAGGGACGAGTATAGTTGGTAGCTAATGTGTTAACACGTTCCTTACCGACCATCACACTCCTCTGTAACTGAGGGATGAGTATAGTTGGTAGCTAATGTGTTAACACGTTCCCTACCGACCGTCATACTCCTCTGTAACTGAGGGATGAGTATAGTTGGTAGCTAATGTGTTAACATGTTCCCTACCGACCATCACACTCCTCTGTAACTGAGGGACGAGTATAGTTGGTAGCTAATGTGTTAACACGTTCCCTACCGACCGTCATACTCCTCTGTAACTGAGGGATGAGTATAGTTGGTAGCTAATGTGTTAACATGTTCCCTACCGACCATCACACTCCTCTGTAACTGAGGGATGAGTATAGTTGGTAGCTAATGTGTTAACATGTTCCCTACCGACCATCACACTCCTCTGTAACTGAGGGATGAGTATAGTTGGTAGCTAATGTGTTAACATGTTCCCTACCGACCATCACACTCCTCTGTAACTGAGGGATGAGTATAGTTGGTAGCTAATGTGTTAACATGTTCCCTACCGACCATCACACTCCTCTGTAACTGAGGGATGAGTATAGTTGGTAGCTAATGTGTTAACACGTTCCTTACCGACCATCACACTCCTCTGTAACTGAGGGATGAGTATAGTTGGTAGCTAATGTGTTAACACGTTCCTTACCGACCATCACACTCCTCTGTAACTGAGGGATGAGTATAGTTGGTAGCTAATGGGTTAAAGTCAACCACTGTAAAGACCAAACGTCCAGACCAAAGGGTAAAACATACGTTGTGTGGTATTGTATGAAAATGTCATTTGCTCTGCTGTGGCATTATAATCCACCTTATATTTTTTGTCTGTGTTCCTTATATGTTACAGATTTAAAATCCTGAAAAATACTGTCAAAGATTTAGAAAACCCCTCAAAACCTTTTACATGGCGGGTGCTAGATTTTAAACAGGCTGGATTGGCAAGATTATTTTTAAATATGATTTGTGTGATAAGCGGAAATGGATTAGTGTGTGGTTTTTAAGCCCCTTGACCAGCTGACTTATGTGACGTGTGTGTTTTGTTGTTCAGATTGTAAACTGACCTGCCACAAGAAGTGTTACACCCAGGTAGGGGTGTGTCGTCTGCAGGTGGGGGCGGGGGGAGTGATGTCACCTTTCCGAGTGTTCGGAGTCCCCCTCCACCAGCTGGCGACAGGCGATGGGAAAGTCCCGCTGGTCGTAGACCGACTCATCACCACTATAGAGATGTACGGCTTGTACATGGAGGGCATTTACAGAAAATCGGGGGTGAGTGGTGACAGATTTTGCTCTAAAAAGTTAAGTATTCAATAGAGATATGAGAGATGACTTAGAATGGATTAGCCTATATATGGAGCGCAGTACTTAGACCTATTGCAATACCTCACGATTTTTTGGTGCATTGGTCTTGTAAACCCTAGTTGCCATTCATAAACAATAAAAAAATTAAAACTTAATATTTGAACTACGGTATTTGAATTAGCCTTGATAGCTCTATATTAATAAAATGTTAGTTCTAGGTATCAAATAAAGAAAATTCAAATTGAACTAGTTTTCTATTTCAGGAAGTTTGAATCAAGCATGTTACACTGTAATATCATTTAATATTTGCTATACTTGAATTTCAGGTAAGCTCCAAGGTTCGTGAGCTGAAAGCTAGAATGGAGGAAGACAATATCGAAACCGTCCAATTTGAACATTACCAGGTAGGAATGTAAATAGATATACTGGATTGAATTTGTGAATGTTTGCAGCTTTAATTCGTTTTTATTTCATTTGACTCATGACATCATCTAGTCTTTTGTTTGTAATCATCTAATTTGAACAATATAAACTTAATATTTTGCACACCTATAAGTGATACAATAACACACTTTGTGTAGGTATGAAGCTGAACATGAATGCAGGGTGAATGACCTAGATGAAAATCTTCGGTGTGTCTTTAAAAAAAATCTTTACTGGTCAATTATTTCCTGATGGTTAAACATTAAAAACACATTTTTCATCGATTTTTCTTTTGCGTTATCAAACAAATATCACCTTTTCGAAGTCCAACTGATTATTAATTTCACATTCCACAGGTCCACGTATTGGCCAGTGTGCTCAAGAGTTTCCTGCGTGAGATGCCGGAGCCGCTGCTAACGTTTGACTGTTACGAGGACTTCTTACGAGCCGCCAACCTTCCCGAGGACAGCGTCAGTTCGCTGTTTGCCATCCTGCGGCGACTGCCCAAGCCCAACTACCACCTCATGGAAAGACTTATCTTTCATCTAGCCAGGTTTGTTTATCACATTTGTTTTCCGGAGTATTCTTAGAATTTACGGTTGTTATCTGCTTTTATTTTCTTTTCAAGTTGTTTTGGTTGTATTCAAAATCTTATTGATTTGAGTTAAACGGTATCTTATAAAAGGTGTGAAATTGTGAAATTAAGTTTGTTGAGTTTGTTGTGGAGTTAAAATACAGCACTCACATGTTTTTTTATGAAACTCAATCATATTTGTTATGTGTAGTTAATACAAAAACCTAACTGTCAAAAAGTTATTCTCCTAAAAATAGCTTAGTAATGAGTGTAAAGTATTTTTTTTTTTTTTTTTATTATAAATAAATATGTCATAACTTTTTGGCTTGTAAGAAGTTTGGTTAGCTGAAACCATTGTGATTTAATGAATTCTGTATGATATTAATCTAGTATCCGTACTAAACTTAACATGTATGCATGAGAGCTGAAATATTATCTTGCTATATTGATGTTGTTAAATGTCTTCTTATTTTGAGCTTGTTTTAAAAGAGTGGCGTCGCACGAAGATGTCAACCGGATGAACTCGAGCGCGTTGGCAATAGTGTTTGCACCGTGCATCCTGCGTACCAACAAGGCAGTGCCGGCGCAAGACTCGCTCAACGACATCGCCCGCCAGACAAAGTGCATCGAGATAATCGTCAGTGAGCAGTTGCGCAAACTGCGGAACACACTGGCGGACATTGACACATTGGACACTGCGGCGCATACGGCTACACACCGGCTGTCTTCACTGAGAAGCTCAAAGGTAAGACTTGCAGTAGACAAACTCCTGAATTATCTTGAGTTGTTGGTAGTGATTCAAATATCAGTACCGTCTGGACAACTTGTAAAATGGGAAAAGGACGTCAATTTTTACTACAAGCTATTGGATACCGGTACTGAAGTTGTTATCATTTTCCATGTGCACTACCGCAGACGTAAGGTTCAGAGGAAAGATCCAATGGTACACTTAAGTGGTGTCTAGTACTTGTCGCTGGTGTTCAGGGCAAAGTTCAACACCGCCCCATCGCCCTCATGTAGTACAATGCTCACGGTGGAGGAGGACACTGTGCCCTATGTGATAGGAACTTCCGCAAAGCGCTCGCCGCTTGGGCTCTTCCTTACTAGTTACAAGTATATTCCCAGCACAAAATACTACAGCTGATAGCGCACGGTCGTACCATAAGCAAGTTTCCTCTGCACCTTTCTCAGTGATATTTGTACAAATGGGACACAGTCATTAAACACGTCTTTTTCCTGTGCAGATATTCACACCAGAAGAGCTGCTACCGCAGAAGACGGATCTGGAGGAGGAGATCCTGATGGGTCACATTGAGGAGTTGAGGAAGGAGAAGGCGATCCTCACGTCCACGTTGCCCTCTCTCACCCGCACCACATCCGACGACGACCTGCTGTCAACAGACGATGGGAGTCTGGACGACGTCGATACTCAACGTGAGTAAACGAAGTGTTTTAGCAATGTTCAGTCACAGGGTTAAAATTGACCTGAGATTTTCCTACCTGTTTTGCTACAGCTGAACAGTCAGTCACAGAGATGTTGTGAATCTGGTTGTCCATGCTTGCAAAGTAGGGTATTACAAGGAATCACAGAAAGAATGGTGAAACACTCTTATTCTGCGGTAAATTATTTAAGAATTGTTTTAATGTTTTGTTTTGAGGTAAATAAAAGTAAAACCTATATAGACTTTGGAGGATAAGTAAGCTGTTTTAGTTTGCCTGTTGGATATAGTTTGATAAAATTTAACTTATTTAGTTAATTATTTTGAACATACTAAGCTATCAATATTCCACTCAAAAACACGTCATTACATTTGTAGAACTCCTTAAACCTAATGTTAGGTATATATTGTAAAAAAAATCAATTCAAGTAATTGTAAATTTGATTAGTCTGTGGGTTTGTTAAGCGGCAGGGGGTCTTTGGGCTAACAGCTGGGGTCGGGCACACTCTAAAACTGTCTGAAATGTATTAACTTAACAGTCTATTTTAGTGTCTATTTACTGTTACTTTTGCTATTCTCGCAGTAGTGGAATTTTTTTAAACACTCAGTAGTCTACCATTTGTGGTAATTCTACACTGCCAAAGTCTTGAACATGCTTTATTATAGTTGTTTGTACTCTGGAAATATTGTTGTTGTTAACTCAACATTTTTCTTTCCATACGAAGAGTTTATTTATCACCATACTGAGGTTGTATGTTGTTGCAGCCCAGCCGCTGTCGAGGCATCGCAACCTCGGCCAGAAGAGGTGCAAGCGTCCCACAGACCCCCTTCCCCACCCCCACTCCAACTCCCAGGACTTTGACGAAGACCCCATCATGGTGTAACATTCCTCCCCTCGCTCAGACGCAAGGACATAATCGATGGTGCTTATACATATTTATACATATATAAATAACATAATTGTGTTATCGATATTTTTTGATTTGTACAAAAATCAATGAACGTAACGCTATATAAACTAGATGTTCCTGTACAGACCGCGTAAGTGTTCGTGTCGGATTGTAATTATATTTTGTACAGAAATGTTCTAACTATGATTTAACACGTGGATTTTGTAACGATTTATCTTCTAGCGTAAGTTTTTAACAAGCCTTGTAATGGGGGTTCTTGTTTTGAAGACTGTCCGAGTCGATCAGTTAACTAGGAATTCCATTTGAACAAATGAATTTGATATTTTTATTCTTGTATCGCTGTGTTATCGCCGGACATTGATGTGTGTGTGTTGTCAAACCGATTCTAAATCTGTACTCGTTAAGATGACTGTGCGTTTTCAATGTATCCTTAACTGTACGCCGTTCCTTCCCAAGACATAAAAATAGACTTAATTTTCTATGTGTGAATCACGTTACTATAATTTTTCAAAAGATACGTCTCTGTGATATTAGTCGTGTTTAGGTCATAATTTATTTTCTGTCAATTTTTATATTTGTGGAAAGAATGCCAAAATAAACTGTTAGTATTATTTTTCTACAAAAATGTTTAAGCAGTTTATACTACTTACGAGAAGTGAAAGTACAAAACCAATCTTTGTGCATTTGCTTGTATATTTGATTATTTAACCAGTCGTTTTGTAGCCACACTTTTTATTTAGTAGACTAGACATTTTTACACGTCATAACAAACATTGGGGAGAAAAAGAGACCTATAAATAAACATTCCATAAATGTGGAAGTTGACTTGATCATGCTTAAGTCTGTTGTCACTTGATGTAAAACATAATGTGAATTTAGGGTATTGGCTGTTGAAATACCAATGACTAACATTAGTCCAACAATGAACAAATAATATTCCAACGAACAATAGCTAGTTATAATTATTTGAATTGGTGCCAAATGATTTTGTATCTTTAGGAAATCAATTTAAACTCACAACTTCTGGTTTTTGCTAATACAATTCATGATTTTTTTATTTTCTACTACCGATTGTTAGTGCTTCAGAGAGAATGTTTATTGTTAAATTGTTACATGAAAATGTGCTTAGAACAAACCGTAACAGATTAGAACGATTTTATTTTATGTTATGTTTTTTGCACCGACATATTTGATTATTATAATTATTTAACGTAACACTGTTTGCGAGGAACTTTTCCCAGACATAATTCTGGTTACTTTCTGCTATAATTTATTATTGTTATCGCAAAGTGCTTCCTTTCTGTGTGTTTTTTATAAATAGAAAAAACTTACTATTGTTAAATTATTTCATGTTAAACTGTTCACTGGTTAATGTTTACAACTTGTTTATCATACAAAAGGGTGTGTGGTGGTCAGATTAATTTACTTAAACAATTTATTGCCGGTAGTTCTATTTACTAATGGATGAGTGACTCCATGGAACGAAAGGGGGTGAGTAATTTGTAAACAAACGTTAGGATACAAAAATCAATATAGTATGATTGTTTAGGCTACCAAGGTCCAAAAATAAGAAGTTTGAAAAGTAGCCTCAAACTAAAAAAAAAAAACTATAAAGGAAAAAGGATCGGTTTTACCCTAGGTTTAAACATCTTTCTAGACACTTCTAAATATTTGTTATAAAATTGCTTAGTAAAACTATTGACCAAGAAACAAATTATTAATGATGAAATTTCCTGTTACTTTTGCTAAGCATACTGTTATTGTTATGACTGGACAAAAAGTTGTGTCGTCACTGTCGGGTTATTGCAGCAGACCTAGTACTTTTTTAATCTATTGTTATTTAAATACGGAATAAATTTGACAAGATTAATGAGATATTTGAGTAAAAATCCCATCAGACAAATTGAAAGTCACTTACTCTGCAGGTTTGCTGAAGCGGGGGTATTTTAATCAGAGCTAGTTACACTTTGGGCTCTAGTGACGAATTTACTTTGGACTATTTGGCTTTTTTATCAGATTTTTATCATTACCCAACCAAATTTTTGTTGGAAAGATACACACACCCTTTACGTATACACTGTTAAATAGAGCTTCCCTTTATAAATTTATATATTGTTATGTTTTTTGAATAGTCTAATCCAACTCACTTTTTGTCGTGGTACCCGGAACAGTTTTAACTGCAAATATTATCATCCCGCATCATAAGTAAATGTACCTGGTCAATGGGTTCATTTTGGTGCAAAAACTAGGCAAAACCTCATATTTGTTTGTGTTTATAAACACTTGGTTTTATGCAGATGTTTTCTGATTATAATGGGCATAAGTAGACGTTTGTTGTCTGATAAGAATAGGTAAGCTAATTTAATTTTGATGGGGTGCTTGCTTACACCTTTGACTATTAATACAACTTCAGTATCCAATAGTCAATGCTTACACAAAATTGATGGTGCAAAAAATGCATTTGATTATTTAGAGTCCAATGTCTAAAAACCTTTTGGAAAATATTTTTGTGTTAGGTTCTGATAAGTGATATGTTTGTAAATTTTTCTATTTGTTTTTATCTTTTAACTTAAACATCTTTTTTGACTTTTGGCAAATAATTGCCCAACAATAGCATGCTTTTGGCTGTTGTTTATGCTATCATTTTCTTTAGTTGTGAATTATAACTAAATTTGGAGTTGAAATATATTTTATTGCATATTATCCAGAAGAAAAGTCTCAATCATTTTAAGTGATCAATTGATTTTATACGTATTTTGTGATTTTTAATGTATTCACACATTATTTATATTATATTTTGTGTTTAATTATTTAGTTTAAAAATAATTCCTACTTTGTATTTTGTTTCTGATCAAATATTTAATAATTTACTTGTTTATTGATTTATAATACTTCTAAACAACAAACTTTTTCAATTTGTGCTCAATTATTTTTTTAAGATGAGATTTTGTGTTTTAATTATTATTGTGGAAGAGACTAGCTTCAATTTTTATTTCATTCATTTGTAATTGATAAGAATGTTAAGGCTGTCTCAATGTTTTTGTTTGTTCTAGTTGTACTTTTGCAATCCTGTTTAATTTTTAAATGGATTTTGTGATATTTTTCCTTTTTTGCCACTGCTATTGTAAAAATCTATTATCATTAATCAAAAAAAGTGTATCTGTTTGCGTTAGGTTCTAACTAAGTAACCACATTTTTTACTTACAAGTTCCCATCTAACTATTTGAACACTATGATAATTATTTTTTCTGGTTGAAATCAGATATCTTAAGATTCAGAAGTGTTACGTATAATTTCAAAAAACATATTTTTATAAAAAAAGAACATAACATTTTTAAACATACTAACAGTTAGTTTTTCCGCCATTGAGTGGGAGAAAATTTTCGTAGCTTTGCTATTTAAAATTTCATATGATAAGAGATAGTGGGATGTTTTAGTAACTTTAAATTTAATTCAATAATAGTTTTCCTCAATTAGATAGGATTTATTATTGTGCACAGCTCATTTGTTTTGTATTTTATCGAATCATTCTCTTGTCAAGAATCTTTGTCAATTTGTGGTTGATGATTGCATTTATTATCGGCATTTGTTTATCAATGGACAGTTGTAAAGATTTATTTTTCTAATCTAACCTTATGCATATCGATCTAGTTTCCAGTCTGACTGAAAATAACTTGTTAAAAAGCTGTATTTTTGTAAACTTAACGCCAATATAACTCGAGTCAGTCTCTAGGCTGTTGTTAAACCATCTTATTACGTTAACGTGTTAAAGTTTATTGTTGAAAATAGAGTTGAGAGAATTCGTTGTGTAATGGCATTTTTCCTGGTTTTCAATCAATATGGTAGCTCCCAAACTTGAAGGAATTTAAGATAATTTGTCTTTAGAGATGTTTTTCTTGAGTGAAGAGATTTTTAGTTTCATTTCCGTGCTAAGAAAAGATTATTCATTTATTTGTAACTCATTGTACTGTAACTTATAAAAAATGTATGGAAGGCAAAAAAATGTCTTTTAATTGTTAAATTTAAAATACAGTAATTTAAAATATGAGTGGGGATAATTAATGGGTAATGATAAATAATTTTCATTTAAAAAATACATATTTTCTGATCAATAAATCCGTAAAGTGTTTATATATCTCTTTATAAAGTTTGCAACTTTTAATTCCAAAACAATTGTCAAACGTTTCATTGAAAACCAAATTTGTTGTATTATTTTGTTTTACTTTCAAATTTTGTATTCTAATAAGAATACCAAATTTCTCCCATTGTAGGGAAAACAGTCTTTTAACCAGAATCTCTGTGTATTAAATTACTTTTGTTATAATTAACCAAGTCAATTACAAGCCCTCGTTGCGATGACCGTAGCAGTTTAAATCTGATGTCGACTGATTGTATTTATTTAAGTCCTTGTTAAAACATAAAATGTTTTAGTTTCAAACGATTACTTTAGCAATATTCTAAGACTAATTATGTAAACTTTGAATATTGTATCCAAAGTGGTTGCAAATAATAGTGTGAGAGATTGCATTTATTAAGCTGGTAAAGTTTTTGCATTTTTCTGTTTTATTTCGGTTATAATTTATTCATCGATACTCCTAATGTCTATACTTGTATTATTTGTGTACTTTTCTATAAATATAAAAATAAACAATATGGGAACATGTTACTTTGTATGATCTGTCGAATCCCCTGTTGTGCTATTTTTTATATGTGCAATAGAACCTCGATAATCCGACCTCGGCAAGTCTTATTCCTGCTTAAGCCAACAGTGTCATTGCCTATAGGTTATAATGTTATCGCAGTAATATCGTAACCATTTCCTATGGTCCTGGGGTTATTATCACTGTCTCCCTCAAAAACTCTTGATTACGTTATCTGTGGTAACGGAAACATCTTGTCTACCATGAACAATGAAAAATCCTAGACCCGAACTCGCAAGGACATCATCATTATATCCCGAACGACGGAAACTGTACTGTTGTTATCTGCGATAGCGGCAGACTATCTCATGTGGTCAACGTAAAGATCATCATCGTCTCCTGTGGATGTGGCAAAATGACGTCTTCCGCAGTCATGACAACATTGTCATTATCTGCAATTGCCACCAAATATTGAGTGTCACAGAAACATTACCATCATCTTCTGTGGTCTAGCCACAATCATTGAACATTCTGCTCTGTACAACAGCGAAGCGTACACGTAAGCTACAGAGCTGCAAATCGGGTCATTCTTTTCAAAAATGATGCAATAGGGGGTGACGAGCCTCATTAGGCGGAAGAGCGAACTATGGAGCTATACGCAAAAACCCCTTACTTAAAGAACCGCCCTCGGATATTGTTGCACCTATGCAAATAATTTTGTAATTTTTTTATATTACTCCAGAACCAATTTTGAAAGTTCTGATTCGTTGAAAATCTTCTTAAAGATTGAGAGTATGTGGTAAACATTTATGAAAGTGAATTCTAGCTTTACATGACCAAAAACAAAACTGTGTTTTAAAGAATTTTTATTCAAGTTGGTAACGAAGGAGATCCCTGAGATCACCCTTGTTTAAGGGTTGTACGGAATAAACTATATAGTCATGATAGAAGACATGTTGTTACGGATCTCAATTTTACAGGATAGTGTGAGCATAATCAATAACCTCCTAGATTTGTTGATAAGGATCCTTGGCGCCAGTGTCTAGGTTTGGTTGACCCACAGCCCAGAGCTACACAGGTCAAGGTCAGGGCCTGGCTATCTCCAGTGTCTTACTATCACTGTGGAGTTGTGACTGGATGTTGATGACTCATTCGTTCAACTGTTTACGTTTTGACAAAAATTAACAATACGCTCACAGCTAAGATGCATCTGATTTTGAGAGATTGGTTTATTCTTATACTTCTGGACCACATTTGAGTGGTTTAACTATGAACCTACACATGTGCTTATAATGCTAAGAACAAACTTACATAAACGGCATCAGCAAATTGACCCTTTCTTTCAACTATTAGCCTGTAGCCTGTCAAAAACCCTTATAATGGGCAAGTCGGGGGTATCTAACTATGATATTATATTTCATGGGTAAAATCCCAAAAACTGTAGGCCTAATACGTTTTGAACCGTAGTTTGTACAGCATTGGGTGTTGTACCATTTTGTCTAAAGTTAAAGGGACCATTACATTCAAAAATTTAACCAAAGTTGTTCAAGACGTTTTTGTAAAAACTTAATTTTTTATGGTAAAAACAACATAAAAATGTCTAAATATTAAAATATTTAGAACCTGGAGATACCACCAGGATTAGTAATCGAATATCACATCAGATGATATCCCGTCTTCCTTTCAAACCTAAGCAATTGAAGACTTGAGAAAATTCAAAATACAGTATTTCATTGACCAGCTGTTTTAGCGAATTTCCCTATAGGGAAGTAGCTATTACCGTAGGTCTCATGGTAAGACCTAAGCCCAGGACCGATTTACTTTTTCATTTTGATGTCCCCAGAGGCCAAAAACACCATTCGTTCAAATTTTTATATATCTATATATAGAGATATATATATATGTGTCCATCCGCACGATAACTTGAGTAATTTTTGTCCGATTTTGATAAAATTTGGTTTGAAGGTGTAAGGCGGGATAAACTTGAATGAGTTCGCAAACCAGCATGATCGGACTATGGGAACGGGGGTTTATGGGGGGTTTTATGGGGTAAAAATAGGTTTTTCCCATTTTTGACCCTAAAAACACGAAATTTCACAATTTCTTTTTAAACCATTTTGTAGAGCTTAAAAAACCAATAATTTAGTATATTGAAGCGTTATTATGCGCCTATTTGTTACGGAGAAAATTCAAAAAAATTGTTATTCTTTTGGAGAATAAGTCAACTGTTGTAGTTTGCTTGTTTATGAACATATTTTGATCGATTTTGGAAAATACTTTTATTTCTTACTAAACTATTATCAATTTATAAAAAAAATCTTTTTTGTCCTCCCTGTTGCAGCAAACCTAAGTACTCGTAAAATTTATTCTATTTAAATAGGAAATAAATGTGCTATTTTTATGGAGGCATTTTAGTGTAAATCCAATCAGGTTAATGGAAATTCGCTTAGTCTGCAGGTTTGCTGCGGCGGGGGTGTTTACTTCAACAACAGGCCATCTCCCAAGACGGAGACAAAAATTCGACCTTGAACTTTGGCCCAAAAGCCCGTAATGTATATTTTCTAATTCGAACCCCAATGCTTCAAAATAAACAAAGACAACCACTAACTATTTAGAATGTTTTCAAATAGGCTATCAACAACCAGCTGTTTAATTTTACAATACTTCCCTCATTGCACAGCTGATCTAGTTGCCCAGCTGACTCATACAGCCAATACAGTTGTTACCTGAACATATCTGATACACATGAACATATGTTTGCCGGTGCCACATATGTTGCGGCTGACGGAGTGTTATGTGCGGAAGGTCGTTCAGATTTGTTGCCATGTTTGGAACTAGACGGCCGCTGTAGCTGAGTCAGCGTCATTATAGATTCATAGCATCTGGGTTAACAGATGATACTTGACTGATTCGATAGCCGCATTTCAGTCTGCAGTAGGGCTAACGTGTGTCCTTCGAGTGAGGAAAAAGTTGTTCAAAAGTTGGCATTGCTTTCTGTTCCTTGTGGATCAGCTGGAGGCGATAGGTGTTTTCTATCAGGTGTGAGTATTGTGAATTTTTCGAGTTTACTGTTTAATTATTTCTCGGTATTTTATATTGTAAATTCTTTAACGAAATGAAACGGTTATCAAC